ACATACTTGCCATGTGTCAACAGAGTTTTCAAGTTTTTGTCTGCTTGAATGTTTGTCAGTGTCCTTACACCAACCGGTTGGACAGGAGAGAGGTAAGAAAGTGTTTTTTTGGGCTGAAATATTGGAACGAGTAAGCGTGCTCACCTGCAGACTGTAACACTTCATACACATGCACTTGGTGTGCGGCAGGCGAGAGTGAATCTGCTTTGCCTCCCCGATTTGCCTTGCATTTGTCACAGGCTAAGAAGGGGTGCTGTGGGTTAGCTGCGGTGTTGGACCTTACACCTCGCTGGCAGCTTGTGTTTGTGCCCTTGGCCGGCAGCATGGTTATCGCTACTTCCTGTGATGTTTACTTACCTGAGGTGTAGCGATGTCAGCAACTAATGGGGTCCCCCCACCAAAGGAAACTTAAGAAACTCCTGGAGGAAGAAGGACTGTTTCCAACAGCCGTACAAAGCAACTCCTTTGTAGCTTGCAGCGAGGCACAAGTGCCAAACTTGTGCTCCTGCTTTAAATTGGTATTGCTAGCAAAAACTTGTGGGACTTCATTCAGAGACAGCCAGCGGGTATTTGTTTAAACTGGGAGAATCTACTTTTAATGCTAAGCTGTTTCCTGAGCATGGTGTTTCTGCTGTTGGGTTGGTCAGTGTAAAACTTAGAAACCTTAGTATAAAACATAACTCTGCTCTCTGAGGACATCTTTGGAGGATTCTTCTCCAGTTCTGGGTGTTTACTTACTCATTGGATGTTGTAATGGGCAGACTTGAAAATACAGAGTGAGTGAAGAAACTCCACACCTACATTAACGTTTGAACTACTTGTGATTTAAAACAGGATAAGGAAGGCTTCTTCAGAACTGAACTTAGATCTTTAAAAAATATATGATTATGAAGGTTATTTGTATGAAGTTTCTGTATATATCACTGAACTCAGATCCTGCTTGTGGTCTTTTGCCTTTAATAATTGAAAGGGCCACATGATACAATTAAAGGGTTTCAGTGTGAGCTTCTAATAGAGTAAGAATGTTAGAGGATTCACCGTGCCAGCCAGGATGTGCAGCAGCTATTTATTTCCAAATGCCGATTTTTCTAAACTGTTACAACTCTAGGGAAGAGGAAGAGAGAAGGCAAGTAACTACCGAATTTGATACTGAAATTTAACATCAGATCAGCGTGTATTACTAAGAAAGTGATGGCAGAAGGATTATTCTGCAGCATCCAGTCATTTTACCAAATGTAACATGAATATTTACCAAAATGTTACTATCAGTAATGAAAACATTTCAAAAATCTGCATTTCTGCAGTATTCCTTAAACTGAGTGGGCAAAGTGATACATTTGTATCAAAAATGGTGAGGAAAAGTGGAAGAATGTCATCACCGTGTAAATCCACTGAAACGATGTGAAGTTGATGTCCTGAACATGGTTAACTCCTGTAGTGGATCAGGCTGTTGCGTGCCTCTCACTGGTTCCCATCTTCTGTCTTCAATATTCAAGCAGTTTTTGCCATTGGAAATCTTTGGTTTTTAAAACCTTGTATGGGAACAAAAAAAAAAAAATCATAATAAAGAAGGGGATCTATCAATTAGCTTCCCATATTTTTCTTTGATTAGCAGAGAAGCACAGTGTGACTGTTAGCATATAAATAAGTGCAAGCATGAATTCGGTGGCTGAGCTATTCTCTATTCAATATGTCTGTGTAACACTTACTAAATTTGTTTTGAGCATTGTTAATACATATAAGAATATTGTTAAGCTCTCCTGTGTTTGTTTTTTCGGTAGGTCGGATACAGAGGAGTAGCTGTTTTGAGGATGAGAGTAATTAACTTTGTGTGTGCAGGAGCCTCTTGAGACAATTAAAATAAGAAGACAGACACAACCTTGTCTTTTTCTACAGGTGGAATGTAGAATACTTACACTAAGTCAGCACAAGGAGGATTTTCTTAAATGCAGAAATTTAAGTTTTCCTGATCTGGGAAGTAATACTTAAGAACATAGGTGTCTGAAAAAAGTACAGACGAGACAGACACTTAGCATGTATACATGTTTAGTGTGCACACTGAGCATAGCGATCATAGTAAGGGGATTAATGTGTTCAAATATGAAAAAATGGAACCTACTCTCTGCAGTTAGTGTAGTCGTTGCAGACAGAGGGTATTCTCATTCGCGTTCAGATTTGCCTGGGAACTCTGCAGTAGCAGTTAGCCACTCCTGAGAAAATTCTTAGTTTTCTAATTACTAAACACATCTGAGAGCATCTTCTTTTCATAGGGTCATTTATATCTTGCAAGTAAAGAAATAGTCTTCTGCTGGGTTATCTCCTAAGCTGTCCAAGCGTGGGGCCAGGTGAGCACCATTGCCTGTGCAGAGGCGAGGCACTGAGCAGTCTGGTGGATCCACGTAGACCAGCACTTAAGCAAGGGTGTCTGGGCAGCTAGAAAAGCATCCAGTTACTCATTTTAGATCAGAAATATGATTGTGTTTGCTTTGCCTCTGGCCTGTTTGCTCTCCTGCCATTAAAAACTTGACCTCAAATCTATCTTAATTCTTTCCCTTTATTTTGCTGTCAAGCTTGTGTTGTTTTGTGAGGGCAAGGCTCATTGGGGTGCAAAAGAGCACATTTGGTTTGTCAGCTTCCTTGGGGGCAGTGAATCCAAATGAAGTCCCATGTGCTTTGTGCCCTTTGGGACACATTTTCCGCAGTGCCTCGAGGACAGGCAGTGCTACCAAATGTTGAGTTTTGGGAAGGAGGTTTTCTGCAGAAAGCAGACAGGTGAAAGGTGCCTTGTGGTTCTGAGCAAAATCATTAAACAGTGGTTGAAGGTGACATTTTGGCCAAGAAAGTGAAATAATAGCACGTTCACACGACGCATGCTGTTGTTGGCGGATACATTTTGAAATGGAGTGGTGAAAGGGGTCGCTGTGCTTTTTCTGGTGTGATAGTAGGATTTGAATCTTGTTCCTATAAATGCATCATTTTTATTGGTGGTCTGAAAGAAAATTACTTTCACCTTCTTGGTGTCCTTTTCTATCTCCTCCTGAATGATTTCTTCCATCAGAGAGAAGTTTCATGTTTCCTTTTCTCATATCTCTACTCTCTTCATGGCCCTGTCTCTTGGAAGACAGTTTTTGAATTTAGAGTGTTGGTTTTTTTTTCAGATGGCTTTTAAGCAGTCTGACATTTGTAGATGAAAGTTTCTTGGAAAACATGAATCTTAATATCCCTGTCATAGGGAAAGCTTTCAGGTGCTTTGTTCTGTCTGTTAACCTCTGCTGGAAATGGGTATTTGGTAACAGAGGTCAATCATTACATTGCTGTCAGGTGTACAAAGATCTGGCATGTAGAAAGCTGAACCTAGATGGCTTCAGTCTAAAAATAACTTTAAAATTAAGGCTGTTATTTATCCTGACTTAACAATTTCTGCCACGCTGTTTATTCTGTGTGGGTAAAGATGTTAACTCAAAGCTAGGTGCTTGGTAAGAAAAACCAAAATTTGCTCCTGTTCAGCCATAGACATTAATTTCAAGTTTTTTGTAACTTCTGAATCTGTTCTGTAATAGTTGAGGTTAAAAGATTGGAAAAAGTTAGATGCTGGTTTTCAGGCTGCATACGTGGAGAGAGAACAATTTGAAGACCATATGCTCAATCTGTGTTTCCAATTTGTAACCTTAAAGCGATTTAGTCATTACCAATTTAATAATTGAACAAATGTAAAATGTTTTACAGTAAATTCATGTGAAGTTTGCTTCAGATTTTGTAGTATTTTTAAGAAGTGATAGAAACAGGAAGAATCCTTCAGAAGAACAATTAATCTAAGTTTTTCAAAAGCTGGCTGGTTTTGGTTTTGTCCTCCATCAGAAGCAGAAGCATTTTTAGGGTATTGACAGCATTTTGTTTATACAGTAACAACTGTGAAACTTTGGAAATAATTTTAAATGACCTTTCTCACTATTATTATGGCAATGATGGCATCTTTTGTAATTGAAGAAAAATAAAATTCCAGTTGACGGAGCTATTACTGTAACAGCTGTTATGACATCCTTTGAAGTTGAAGGAAAATGAAACTACAGTTGTCAGAGCAACAAAATCTTCTGATAGCTTTGTTTGTAAAGTATGTATTACTCAAATATTGCAGGGGAGATGTGTTTGTTTTTTAAGAATCTAAAATCCCTAGAACATAAATGACAATCAGGCAAGCTATTTTTACTGGTTGAAAAAACCACAAAGCTAGAGTACGTTATTAATTAGCAAATACAAAAAGCATGCAATAAATTGCTTAATTATGTTCTTCTTTTTCTTTAATGAAGGTAGCAGTTGAATTTTTAGAATGGTAGCATTTTGAGTGGATTATTTGTAGCTTGTTTGTCAACAGGTAACAGCTATGTTCTGAATGCTGTGAGTAGCAGCATTGCTTTCAGGTAAAGGAAAAGTCTTGCAAGTATTCTGTAGACTACAGTAATGAGCTGAATGGTAAAAACAACAGAAGAACAATGTTTTCAGTAGTTCTTCCTTTTTGGAGTAGGTTTATGTGTATGATTCCACTTAAGACTAATAATTCAATTGCTTTCATTCAACTTTCATGATAGACAGCTACCCTCTGTTCAGAGTTAAACATGTTATCTTTAACAGTGAGGAAAGTTTACTTTAGATGTTCAAGGGCTGGCTGCGTTGTACTTTGCAATTCTATGTCACCACCTGGATTACCTTACGAGGTCAGTGCAGAGCTTATTCCTATCAAACGGCATCCATGAAGTCATAAACCAGAAAACGAAGGATCTGGTTTTTGGCAATGGCAATATTGGGGTGGAAAGTTCAGTGCAAATTTCTGTTTGTTTGTTTCTTTAATATACCTATTAACTGTAACCTAAGCTTTTTGCCCAAAACTACCTCGGTTATGTGTTTGGCGAGTTGTTAGCATTCGGTGTTGCGTGCAGTTTTACCTGCTGTCTGAGTTCATTCCTTTCCAAGGTGGTGGTGATGATGACTTGTTTCTTTTTAACAGCTGTGTGTTCAGAGGCACCTGTGCATGAGAAGTTTGTTCTATGGCCTCAGAGCTGGGTGCTAGGGAGGATGACAGCTGCTCAGAGCTGGCAAAACCTCTTTATCTGCAGTATCTGGAGAAAGCTCTGCAACTGGATCAGTTTTTACGACAGACGTCTGCCATCTTTAACAGGAGTATATCCAGGTACCCAAACCTTTTCCATTTTCTGTTGGGAATACCAAGGAAAGACAAGAATTTTTATTACATTGTTCACATATTAAACCATATTAAAGGTTTAGTGGTGACTTGTTCATAGAATCACAGAACGGTTTGGGTTGGAAGGGACCTCAAAGACCATCTAGTTCCAACCCCCCTGCCATGGGCAGGGACAGCTTCCACTAGACCAGGTTGCTCAAAGCCTCATCCAGCCTGGCCTTGAACACTTCCAGGGACGGGGCATCCACAGCTTCTCTGGGCAGCCAGTGCCAGTGCCTCACCACCCTCTCCGTGAAGATTTCTTCCTGATAATCTAATCTAAATCTACCTTCTTTCAGTTTAAACTCGTTACCCCTTGTCCTGTCACTAAAGGGCCTTGTAAAAAGCCCCCCTCCAGCATTTATAAGAGTTCATTATATACTCTTCTCGTTTAAAGATTTTGCGCTGTGCTTCTCTTAGCGTACACTGATAATTCAGTGTGTTGCCAGCCCACGTACAAATTAGTGTGATGTTTTAAAGCTGTTTTTCATAGCTGGGTGGCCAAAACTTTGTCTGCAAAAAGTAGGATGAACAAGTACTAAGTTGATTTTTTCAGGGAGAGCACCTGTAGCCGTAAGTGTAATGCAGAGACTGTTGTCAGATGCTGTAAGTAAGTAAGTTGGTAAGTAGGTAGGTAAGATGTAAGTAGGTTGTAGTAATGAGAAGTGAGTCAACAAGATAGTTTCTGTCCCAAAACAATTTACATTTAATTTCATCAGTGTTTGGGAATTGTAAAGTTACAGAACTGATAAATGTATGGATAATAGATGACAGGTATATTTACAAACATGTAGCAAGATCGACACAAGGAGTAGAAAAAGTATAGATTTGTATTTTCCAAATGTACAGTAGTGCTGAGGGTGGCAGTACTGTGCTTTGGTTTGACGTGATGCTAGCTTCTTGCTTAGTTCATGCTTCTTAAATTAGTAAAAGAGTGAAGGTGCAGGTTGATAGCATAGCCACACTGGTCTGATGATTAACTTCTGCTGGGAGATTAACAGGAAATTATTAACAGCAGTAGTTCTAATATGTAAAATTACATCTGAAGCTGTCTCATTTCTCAAACCTTTAGACAAATGGCCACATGTAAGAAAGTTGCATGGCTATCTCCACTTTTGAATCTGTCTTTTCATTGTCACCGTATTATGTATGTGCTTGCAGCGATGAAAGTGAAGATGGATTGGATGACAATCCTTTACTGCCTCAGTCTGGGGATCCCCTGATGCAAGTTAAGGAAGAACCTCCAAACTCTTTGCTTGGGGAGTCTTCTGGAGCAGGGAATTCTGGGATGCTGAATGCGCGTTCCCTGAATGGAGTACTGCAGCCAGGTAGGCATACACTAGGTTGAATCTCTGCTTTCTTTGGGATGAGCTGGGAAAGGCATTATTTCTTAAGAACTTTATTTTTATTTTTGTGCTAAACAGAACCAAAGTCTGAAAAAGGGAGCTTGTATAACTTTTCCAAACTGAAGAAAAGCAGAAAGTGGCTGAAGGTAAGAATATTGGAAAGAAATGCAGCTGTTATGAAATCTGTAAGTAGATTTCCAGTCAACACTCTATAGATAAGATAGTGGTGAGTGTTTAATCTTCTCATGTGATGTAGATCATGGTATAGAAACATGTAATCAAGCAGATGGTAACAGGAAAATAAGTTGAGCACTGGTCAGAGCATTATCACAAATTATCACTAATAACCACCTCCAAATACATAAGTTCACAGTAAGTTTGTTCTCATCTCTGTAGTCCATTTAATTTTACTTTAAATGTACTTTTGAGAGCTCACCAAGCTAGACTGTTGTGTTTTAAGAGTTGCTCTAAATCACGTGATGCAATGTAATTGATGCAAAATCTCACACTGAAAAAGAGGCATGAGGTGATAGAGGGCTGAAAAGAGGACTTCAGATGAATCCTTCAGTTTTGTTCTACATTGACTTGTTGCACCTTTTTTTTAAGTAGCTGGAGCTTGTGTCCCTTGCTAAGAAGAAAGGAATGTGGGTTTTGGGGATTTTTTTTTTACATTAAGGAAAAACACCTACCAAAGCAAAAAATACATTCTTCAGAGGCTTCTCATCTTGTAAACGGAAAGAAAGAAGAGTATGTGGCAGTTGATAAAGAATATTATATTAGACTTTGGGTAGAACAAAAGGGAATTATAGTCTCTGTAGATTTGAGGCTTTCATTTTCATCGTGTAGTGAAATGGACAGCAGGCATTTCAGTTTTGGTAAGTAGCAGTGTTTTAGTTAAATTTCACAGTTTACATTCAGAAGCTTGAAGTAATTTTAGTACACTGTCCAAATTAAAATGAGCTATTATGAAATATATTAAATGGACATTTGAGACTCAGCTGAAAATTTGTTTCTGAGATGAACTCAGTACAAGGTCCAAGTGAGGATGGAATGAGAGAGTGGAATGGTGGCTTGATGCCATCTTTGCATTTCCATTGTATTGTAGCCTTCTCTAGTTAGCAAAACCAGGTTGCCAGAGGTCAGACAAGAGCCAAATCTGCTGCAGTTGATGCAGCTGGAAATGGGGGTAGGAAAGTACCTGCAACCATACATCACCAAATGCCCCTACTGGTATCCTGGATTTTCTCACTGCTGCTTTTCTGAGACCCCAAAGTGGGTTCTAAAGTGATTTAACTATCACCAAACTAACAGAAAACTACCTCCCCTAAATCAGAAAATGTATATGGGTTTTACTGCTACAAAGTACTGTACCTCAGGAAGCTCTTCTCCGTTTAAGGTGTTTCTGGTGGAAGACACTTTGTAAATGCTACGTATTGTTGGGACAGACCCGCAGCCCTTTATTGGGTAAAGACTCAAGAATGCTTTGCATAAAAAAAACAGTTCAGTATGGGACTTATGATTATTAAATTAGTTTCCATTTATTCTTGTTAGAGTATCCTTCTGAGTGATGATTCCAGTGACACAGATTCACCAAGTGATGAGGACAGAGAGGAGGAAGAATTTTCTCTTTCAAGGGAGGAACTTCATAATATGCTGCGTTTACACAAATATAAGAAACTACATCAAAGTAAATATAGCAAAGACAAAGAGGTAAAAATCCGGATTTTGTACATTTCTTTGATTTGTGTTCTTTCCTTTAACTGCGTTATTTTAACTGCTTTTACATTTTTATCAAAACCCATAATATTTTGTGGACTGGAAGACATTCTGTTGTTTGGCAGACTAGAAGCAGCTAACATCAGTTTCAGACAAGGGGACTTCTTTAGCTAATTACGTACAGACTGAAAAGCTGTTGATGCCTTATGCTGAGAATCTGTCAATAATTTATGTCGCTAGTACTGGCACATGCGTTATACATAGCTTCCCCAATGCTCTGTCACAGTCACTGGAGCAAATACAGGGTGCTGGAATGCAAGATTTGGATAATATATATGAAAACTGAGGTGCCGTGTGTTAAATTCTAATACAGGTAGTAGCTGCTGTTCAAGGCTAGAATTGTATATTTAAACCTAAAGCATCATCACTGAAGTGACAAGTAGTAAGGTGATGTTTAACTTCTTGAAAGGGAGTTGTTTTTCTTCCTTGCTGTTTTCTGTCATTCTTTGGGGGTTTACTTGACTCTTTTTTTTTAAAATTTCTTACTTTGGATTTTCTTCTCATATTCTCTTTTTTCTCTTCTTATTATAAAATAATCTGCTGCATTTCTGAATTTTTCTTAATATTAGGCCAAATTCTACAACTGTTTTGATTCTAATAATACATTTCTTCAAATTACAAGGGCTTTTGCAGAAATTATTTTCATTGCCCTTTTGAATGGCACCAGACAGATGAAGGAAGTCATCTTATTCTGCTATCAGAGGGTGTGTCCAAAATTAAAACTTGTCTTCTTGTTTCATGTTCTTTTTAAATTTCACCAGAGGAGTTAAGTATTTCCCCACCCAGGTCTTGGCATCTGTCCAATACTTTCTTTTGTTTACTTGTAACGTTCTCAACTTAGATTGTGTTAGCATCTTGACATGCTACATAACTGCACAGGCCATAGCTTTTGTTAGATTTTACACAAATATTTATTTCCAGACTACTAAGAAATAATGCCCAGTGGAAATACTTTTGACAGATCAGCAGTAGGCAGTTATGGGGGGAGGGGAACATGTTGTGAAAAAAAGTTTATGTTGTCACTTTTCAAAGATCTTTTATTAACTTAATAGTATGCATATGTTTTAAATAGTTAATTTCTCTCCTGTACTTTCTTTAATTTGCCTGTTTATATGTAACGTGTATGGTTCTTCAATATTTTAGTTGAATAATGCTTGGAATATACTGACTTCTTTGGTAATTTGGGGGAAAATGCTGAGGCAGCTATATTTTTACTCGACAAACTGAATGCTCAAGTTGTTTGTTTTTCTAGAAATATTTTAAGTACCTTTTATCTAAACCCATCGATTTACATCTTTTGGAATGATAAAGCAGAACACGTATGTAATTTGGGAATGCAAGCAAAAAAAATAGAAGGTCCATGGCTGGACTGCTTCATGTAATGTGCTGTCTTCCTGGGCAGCACCCATGTGGAAAACATAGAGCAGAATGTTTTGAAACGGTAAGCTTCACTGCCCACTCTTCCCATCTTACTTAACTGGGTGGGCTTGGCTCCCGGTCTAGAACTTGGAGGCCACCTCTGGAAGCAGTGGTTTCACTTTTGACACTGTACGATCCTTGATAACAGTGTTAAATAGGGAGAAGTGCGTGTTTTCTGATCTCTTATTTATGATCAAGGTCTGAACTTGTTTACCTGCTGTCTCTGTTTTCCATTACTCTGCTCATTTGCATCCACTTCAGTTGCAGCAGTATCAGTACTACAGCGCAGGACTGCTGTCTACGCATGATCCTTACTACGAGCAGCAGCGCCACGTGCTAGGGCCCAAGAAAAGGAAGTTTAAAGAAGAGAAAAAATTAAAAGGTAAAGTCACTAACCTTGTGCTTGTGTTGCTGCTGTGATTAAACTTCTTTACTACATTATTTCCCGTGAATAAGCGTAAATGTTCAAAACTTTTGGGTTTTGCATGGAAGTACCAAGTTCGGTCAAAGAAAAAATCTTCAAAAAATACAGTGCTTTATCTTCTGGCTTTTAGAAAGCTAGGAAAGAAAAAAGAAAAGGAATATGAATTGAGAGTTCATGGTTTTAGATTTTATCTGTGAATCTCTGAATCTAGAATGAGAGAGTTATACAGTGAGTACCTTATAGCTTTATTCTTTGCTTTGGAATCCATAAATACCATTGTGTATCATGGTCCATTTACTAAGAGCTTTTTGAAAACATGATGGTTCCTTGAAAAATACAAGAACTTACCCAGAGGCTGATGCAGGTATTCCTGCATGTAATCCTAGTGAACAAGAAATTATAGAGAGTGCGGGTGTTTGCTGGAAATCAGAGGGATCTCAGAATTGATGTCTAATGTGAGTTAAAATAGCATTACTTCTGTAGCCACTCAGCTGGAGTTTCTCAGATTCCTGTTTGCCAGGAAGTACAGTTTCCTTTCTTGACTGAGCTGGCACCAGCTGTAAATCTGTAAGGAAGCAAGAAGAGAAGGTTATGAACTGTCAGCGTAAGGTGAATTCTCTCTAGTGCAAGTACTTAAGTTTGAGCTGTGTTTTAAGGGGGCTATTTTGGGCTTCCTTCCTTCCTATATTTCTGCAAGTTCCTTCAACTGTGTAATTTTTTTTTCTCCACTAATCTTGCAGCGTCCATGATTTTGCATACTCAAGAATAATATTTTTAATATGTGATACCAGTGTGAATTTTCTCTGAAAGCTGCTGTGTTATACATGATAACATCCCAATCAGTTTCAACTGCTGAGAAGTTGGTTTGAGACTTATCCTACCAAATGCTAATGATGTTACTTATAAATGCCTTGCCTTTCCATGTCTTTAAGTAGAATTTTACCACAAAGCAAGAAACATCGCACCAGGTCCCAGGCATACTTATTAACTCCTAAGGCATGTTTCCCGTGGTGGAAAAATTGCATTTCACCACACTGTCAATCAGACAGGAAAATCTTTCCATTATAATGTGATGAGGCAATATCTAATATGATAAATGGATGGTACCAGAATTGGCAAACGTGGATAAGTTTGGCTTTGGTTCCGCATGTAAATTGACTAGGATAGTTTACTCAGGAAGGATACCTGACTGTATGTATCCCAAAAATAGGAAAAAAGGAATTTATTTTTATGATCATTGTTGCCATGCAGGCAAGTTGAAAAAAGTGAAGAAAAAGAGGAGACGGGAGGAAGAGCTGTCTTCAGAGGAGTCACCACGACGCCACCATCACCAGACCAAAGTTTTTGCCAAGTTTTCTCATGATACACCACCACCTGGGTCCAAGAAAAAGCATTTGAGTATTGAGCAACTTAATGCACGTCGACGGAAAGTGTGGCTTAGCATTGTTAAAAAGGAGTTGCCAAAGGTGAGCTTGGCTAACGGCACCTGATCAGTGATAATGGCAAGAAAGTGAAATAGAAAATTAACTTAGCCTGGAGTTGACACTTGGAAAAACAAAGTGAAGTAAGACTTGATTTTTCTGGTGGTCATTAGCGACCAAACTGATATTCTGTAATCCGTAAGCAAAGCGTAGTTCAAATTTCGTATCATGAGTGAAATCTGAGAGGATCATGCAGTGCTTTGCCACTAAATTTGCTTTAATTTGCCTATCCAACCCTTTTCTATGAGTAGTACAGTAAAGTCTGGCAGGTACTCCTGCTAACCTACAGGATAGCAGTGTAGAGCAAACCAACATTGGGGTTTTACATAAAGTTCAGGAAAGGAGTGTTTTAATCTTTGTAGCATGTGTGTTTGTTGCAACTTATTTCAGACACAGTCTAGGGAAAAATGTTTGTATCGTTTACAGGACAAGCTTCAGGCACATTTGAAATAGAAAGCTGGGTTCACGGTCGGTAGTTTTCTGTCACCAGAGTGAACCTTGCAACCTGCTTTTTGGAGTTCACAGTTAACAGACTCTCAATTCGAGGAAGTTGAATGAGAGTGATAACTATATCTTCCTTTATGAACTTATAAGCCAGGCAAAGGATATGTGCAGTGTGATAGACCTGATATTTTCAAGAGACTGATTTTGATCACGCGAAGAACATAGCATCTACATTAATTCTTAACATCTTTGGGAAGCAGTGGAAATTTTTAGTGTTTACTTCAGTGATAACAGTGGAATAGGAGAACCCAGGTTTGCAATAGTAGTATTTAAAGGAACGATCCTGAAAAAGGGAAGTGTTTCACATGTATTCCAGCTCCTGAAGGAAGCGTTTATGTATGCCTTCAGTAATTAAGGATGAAAAGCTCGTTCAGTGAAAATAAAAAATACAGTACCTGTACCCAATTATGCAACAGTGTGCATGGCTGAAGTTGGGACTTTTATCTGCTGAAGGCTGCATAGTGATCTTTAAAATTCTTTGAAGCCATTATCCTTTAACTAATTTTAGGATGGTATTCTTTTACAGGCGTACAAACAAAAAGCCTCAGCGCGCAACCTTTTCCTAACCAACAGCAAAAAGGTGAGGATTGTTTAGCTTTATACTGTTACTTGTACTGCCTTTAATAAGCAACCTGTAACCTCTTTATGTTTCTTACAATACCAACTGTACTAGCAGGGCAGTATAGGAGAAAGCACTGTATAAAACTTATCTGCCATTTAGTATAAGGCTTTTCATTTTTCAGATGTGTCATTTTGGCACGTTTCATAAGCAACAGATAAAACGAGCAACATTAATTTCTTTCATGAGATCTTTTTGGCTTTCGTAAGATTTAGTTTGTACATTTTTAATTTACTGATCTTTGATACAATAAATTAATGACTTTGGTATGCTTTGGCTTTTAAACTGCCCATCTATCCATTAGCTAGAATTTGCTGGTTTAAGCATTCTTGTTTAAATCAAAGGGGCTCTTGGAATATTAAATATATTAATTTACATAAATATATATAGGAACTGAGTTTAAAAATAGAACAATTTTCTGCTTAAGTGATTGCAAAAGGAAATTATCTCATCAGATTCTTCTCTGAGAAGCATCATTGTTTCTACCTAGAAGGCTTTACTTTAGGAATGCTTGGTAATGGCTTTCTGAGCATTTTTCAAGTGTCTGATTCATTTATATGGTTAATGAAAAGGTAATCAAGTATATGGCTGAGAATCATCAGAGGCAAGATGTTACAGGAAATTTTCCGTTCTGTATACACCTTATCAAGAAAGTGGATGTTTTCTGTGTAAGGGATGCAGAAAACAGGTCCTGCATGTATATATTTAGGAAACGCTGCTGTAGGTGGGTTCTCTCCTGTGGTCTTCCTTAGCTTGAAGAGTGTGGATTTCTGTATGATGTCGGGGCAAACAGCTTGTGATTACTGTATTTGGAGGTATCACAAACTGCATTTTAGCAAGTGATTAATGCAGCAGACTTAGAGGTTTTGAAATTCCACTTCTTTTTTTTTGTTTTCACTTTGTTTGATCATTTGAAATCTGTGTGTGTCGTGGTTTAACTCC